CCCAAGCCATTTCCTCCCACCTGCAGCCTCTCAAAGCTCAGGCTTTTTCAGCTGAACAAGGTGGAAGAGTGCCCATCGTTTTGCCAAACTAGAAACAGGTGGGTACAAGCTGTTTGTTCCTAGAAATATTAGGGGTGCTTCCTTAGAAAGCTGGGCATCAACACCCACCAGACAAGGCTGTGTGAACCCTTCCCAACCAAATGCATCCTGGCACTTGACCTCACTCAAAGAAGCTGGCAAAGGTGACTGGTGCAGGTTCTTTACCAGCCCAAGCCCTGAGAGAGAAACTGTCCATGTCCCCAGGGTTGAAAAGGTGGAGGAAGGAAGGCAATGTGCCATATCCAGGTTGGCAGCACCTCGCTTCTCTGTCTACTTGCCACCCAGGGTGGGCAAATTCAGCTGGAGGTAGGGGGGTAAAGAGGGTACCCTACCTCTCAGCCCCAACAGACCCCAGCCTGTCCCAACCCCCCCCCATCCTGGCAAAGGTGTCAGTGTCTGCTCGGGTTGCATTTGGAAACCTGCCGCCACTGCTGCCTTATCATCACTGAGGCTCTGTGCAGCTGGAGCAGCAGGGCTGTTTAAGGGCTAGAGTCCATGCAAGTTGGAGCCAGGAAAGGGCCTGCCTCGCTCTCTGGCCCGCCAGCCAAGTCACTCAATGACACTCACCCCGTGGAAGCCTCTGAAGAGCCACACGGGCCCCAGCTGCAGCTGATGAGCTGTTCCTGCAGTACAGCATGGGCAGCGTCGAGCTCCCATGGGGCAGGAGCCTCTCTCAGTCCCCAGCCACACTCCCTGAATGACCCCTTGTAGCTCAGAGTTCCAAAGCTAGGACTTTAGGAGAGAAGCCAAATCCTTCAGGCTCACCATAAACTTGTAACTGACGTCTACCCCAGTCCCACAAAATGAGCCGGCCTCACATGGGCTAATGGGAAGTGTGCCAATTATGTACCAGAGAACCACCAAATGGCCAGCATGGTCAGACTCCTGGGCTGATGAGCTGCCCTCAATGCCATCACGTGGGTCCCACCCAGGAGACCCAGGCTGCAGTGGGTGACCCTGATCTTAGCTCGGCAGTCAGCAAGTACCTCCATCCTGGTACCCCTGTGACATTACGAGACACTGAATGGCATATCAGGAGACTTCTGGCCTCAAGCTAGACAAGAGAGCACCAGCCCAATGGCACTGCCTCACCTGACCCTCCCTCCCTATTTCCCCAGAGGGGCTCACTCAGGCCCTGCCCTCACACAGGACATGGGGACACTTCGCTGGCACACACACAGCCCCCACTCCTGGTCAAGGTTTGTCTCACCCCAGCATCAGCTCCCTGTGGCTGGCTTCTCTCAGCTGGCCTCTGACCCCCAGCCTGCACTGTCCCTTCTCACAGGTGTGAAACTGGAAGCACAAGGGAGTTCCTGCTCTATTTGGCAGAAAAACTCAATAGCCCTCCCTCTCACGGCTCTCTCAGGGCTATGCCTGGGGACTGTCACAGGAGGTCCTCCAAATCCAAACCAAAGTTTCATGGGGTTCCATCCTGGTGAAATGGGGTCATATGCAGCAAGGCCAGGACACAAGCAGCCACAAGGCTTGCGGGCCTCCTACACAGACCAGTGACCTAAAAACAAGCGTGCAATCACAACTCAACTTCTAAAGGGCGTAGATGAGTGTGGCGGAGACTGCGGAGACATGGATACTTGTCCCAGCTCTGCCATCCTAAGCTGCCTGAGGTCCCTACAAGTCCAGACCACTCTCTGGGCCTCAGTTTCCCCACCTGGACTCAAAAGTGCTTTCATATCTGCCATCCTCACCTGTGGGACAGAATCCCTGGGCATATGGGACCCACTCAGAAGCCCTAGGGCCTTCAGGAAGTGGCTGGTGGCAGCTGCGCTTTACAAGGCACTCAGCCACCTCCCGGGACAGAATGCGGAAGCTCAAGTCACCCAGGAGCCCAGGTGCACATCTTCCTGGAAGGACGGGACAGGGAATGGACTTAACGAGTGGGAAGCCTAAGAGGACTGCTTCAGCCCACTCCTCAGCAGCCTTGTGATGCAGCCCCCCTACCAGGCCCTCTCCCTGGGAATCAGTGCAGGTAATACATGCCCCAAAGGCGTCAACCAGGGTGTCAAAGAACTTCCTGGAGCTGAGCCACTCTGACCTGATAGCATCTCACAAACCCTCACAAGTCAGGAACGTCCTCGAAGCACACTGGCTCCCAGGTGACAACACAGGCCCAGCCTCCATGGATTTCTCCCCTTGGGGCTGAGCAAAGCAGCCCCCACTCCTGGCCACAGATCTCCACATATACTAGGTATACAGTCTAGCTGGTGGGCTGTTTTTAAACAACTGCCCAAATTAAGGCTGCTCAGCCACATTATCCTCCCTTAGGAAAGTAACATTAGCTGACTTTGAATTGCCCCAAACCCAGGGGCAGAGCCAGGCCCAACAAGGAGCCACAGCAAACCCTGGCAGACCCTGGGGCCTGGAGGGCAAGGAGGGCTTTGCTTAGGGCAAACAGGCTCTCCTTGGGCAGCCCTGCCCCACACGTACTACGCACTTTGCACTTGCACGCCCACATCAGCCCTGAGACCAGACTCTTCAATCACCCACGTCATTAGGAAGCAGCCCAAAAGTCTTCTCAAGGAAGCGGGTCTGGTCTGCCCATGTGGCCAGCTGCAGAACCTGGCAGCAAGCTGCCATCACCATCGGGGGAGCACAGTGGTCTCACCACGGATATTGAGGAAGAGATGGTGGGCAGGAGAGAATCAGCTCTCTAGGAAGAGGAGGGGCTAAAGCAAGTGCAGGGATGGAGCAGAGTCAGGGCAATCCTGGCTAGCTCCTTCCACCCCGATTCGGTCTGCAGAACCCTGAGCAAGCCAGGCCCCGGGGCTCCCAGCCCGTGGCAGCCCACCATGGGGCTGGTGTCATGGGAAGAGCTAATGGCACACCAATCCTAAGTTTCTCTATTTGATATGGACTTTGAGAGGTTGGGAACAGAAACAAATTTGAGCCTCACACTCCGATTCCCACTTTCATCTGAGCTGCACCCTGGGGAGAAACCAACCTACCTTCACCCAACCCTCCTTCACCCAACCCTCCAAGTACCACATAAGACTCAGTCTGCCTCTCCTGGTTTCCTAACTCATCTCATGCCATCTCAGCTCTGTGGACCTCCCCAGGGAGGCCCCTGCTTCCCAGGCCATGACATCCATTTTGTACCCCTGATGCCCAGCCCAATGAGCTGGGGAGCAGATGACAAACAAACAAACAGATGGCAAAATGAACAGAGCTCACTTCTTCTTCTCCTTTCCTCTGGACACTGTAAGCTTGGTGCCCTGAAGAAGAAATGATTCCATGGAGCCAATTCCCATTCTCTATACCCTCAAACTGCCAGCTGTCCCTCAGCCTGGTTCCCACATGTCTAGGTTCAACAGCAGACAAGCAAACATGCAGTTCCACTTGGCCTGTTTCACTTCTCCAGGAGAACAACATCAACAGGGATCCTTTCTGTGCTTGAAGCTGCACCCAAACATGGGGATGGCATTTCAGACACCACATTCAAGGGTTCTCAGCCTAAGAAGTGAATTGGGTGTTTAAAGAACCCTCAGAAAAAAAGAAAAAGCCCTGGGTGATCACTCAGTATACATCTGTTTGCATGGTGTTTCTGTGTACTGCCTTTTCTTTCTTTTTATGGGAAGCAGGAGAGGCAGTGGCATTCACATGGTTTTTAAATGCTCTCCTGGTTGTAAGATCCAAAACTGGTTACACATTAATCTAAATAATTGACTTGCCAAAGAGCTAACAAAGGTGGCTCCCCAACAAGCTTACAACAGGAGCAGCTGTCACCCCAGCCCAGTGCCGTACATTACATCTAGATGTGCCGGCTCCGGGCAACAGGCCTGCTGTCCTCACATGAGATGTGTCTCTGACAGAGAGGACAAGGGGTCACCACGAGCTGAGGGCAGCAAGTGGCCTCCAGGTCCCAAGAAAGCAGAAGAAAGGGCCCATGCCCTCAAGCCATGGCTAACGGCCCCACGTGCCCCGACTCAGATGACAGTGGGATCCAGAGAGCTCTGGGCTAGACACCTCCCACCTGGCTTCTGATCCAAGATATATGAGCACCCCAAGGCCTCCTTCAGCCCTGAGGGCCCTTCCCTACTCTATATCCTGCCTGCATCCTGCTCACAGGTGGAGAAGGGGATGAACTGTAAAGCTCTGGTCTCCGCCGCCCCTGCCCGACTTGGGTGTGGCAACTATGTCCCAAGAGGAGACATTCTGATGACCACTCTGCTCAGCAGGAAACAGCTCAACCATGACTTCCTGGTGGGAGGTGAGAGGCCCACACCCAGCCAGCTGCTAGAGAATGCCCAAGTAGCCCACCTCACCACAGCCCCCGGACAGGGGCCCGTGCCTGGCCACTGCCCACCCAGGGAGTCCAGAGCACCAGATGCGTTGGTGAAAGCCACTCAGAGAGAAGGCCTCTGCTCACTTGATTCAATTCCAGGAATTCCCAAACAAACACGCAGCAAGATTTCTCTCCTTTGCACCTGCCTCTGTGAGACACCTGTTGTTTCTGTCTCCAAAGGGCTTTAAAGTCTGCAGAACCCAAGGAGACCCCAGTAGCAACTCAGGGCATGGGTTCTTGGGCTCTACTCAACTGCTGGACCAAGGAACGCCTGAGGTCATCAGGGGACAGATTCCATTCAGCCACTTAGAGGAAGCCTGCTAACCGCGTTTAGATGCCTGCCCACCCACCCCTCACTCAATTTAACTCCTCTACTCCCTTCTCAGCTGTAGTGCCAGGCCCAGCACTTCTGCCAGAGGTCACAGGTCTTGTGGGTGGCAAACCTGTTTTTGCATCTCACTCCATTGCCTAGGCTATGAGGGCACCACAGAAACCACTCCCCCGTGGGCTCCAAGGGAAGGGCCACCTCAGATGAACCCAGCCCTGCACAGGCCTCAAGGCCGTGCCTCCCACCCACTCCATGCCAGGCCGATGCCCTCACCTGATGCCCGTGGAGCGTGTAGAGCAGCCGGCCCTCCATGAGGTCCAGGATCTTCAGAGTCGAGTCGCTGGAGGCTGTGACCAGGTAGTTTCCCGACGGGTGGAAGGAGAGGGCATTCACTGCCGCGCTGTGCACTGAGGGAAGGATATCAGTCAGGCGCTGGCTGGGTGGCCCAGGGAGCACAGCTGAAGCCTGAAGATGAGCAATTGGGGCCAACCAAGGCTTGGCACAGGGCTGCCTGGGGTGGCTATCACTCAGAGGGGCTAAGAGGAACCCCTCAAGGATTTCCCAGGAGAGCAGCATGATCAATGGACAGGAGACTCATCCAGAGCTGAGGGCTAGCGGCAGGAGACAGAGGGCAGGCAGGAGCCATGTGGCAAGGTGAGAGGGATCAAGCAATTCCTCCACCTCTCCCACCACACTGAGCAGTCAAGCTGGAGCAGAGCAGAGGGCTCAAATGTAATGCTCAATCTGTCTTACATACTGCTACGTTAGGAAAACCAAGTGGAAAATCAAACCCTTGAAATGCCAATACGATGCCCCAACTCTACAGGAGAAGGGGTGTGTGAGGGCAGGCGAGCAGACAGCTAAGACACACTCTCAGGAGCCAGTTGGGCCTGGGTTCCGATCCCAGCCTCCCCTAGCCCACCTGGTGACCTTGAGCAAGCACCCTGACACACTGAGCCTGTTTATCCTGCTGCATCACAGCACCCACGTGTTAGGGGCACTTGTGGGGATGCTACCAGGTTAAGCCTATGAGGCCTCTGTACAGAGTGAGCCCTCAGATGTCCCTCTCTGCTGCCCCTCGTGGCCCATGCAACTCCAGGTCCTGCCATTTTACACACTCAACAGCTCAACCCCATGCATGACTCTTTTCCCCACTGCCCCAGCCCAAGCCCCACCATCCATCTTGGTGTCTGTCACTCCTCAAGATCCAGCCACCTGTTGGCTCCCCAGCAGTGGGAACTTTCCACCCTTGTTCCCTGTGGGCCCAGGAGTCTCTTGCCCACCTCCTCCCCTGGCCTTGAAGCTCACTGTTCAGAGTCACCTCCTCAGGAAAGCCTCCCCAGACCTGCCCATCAGGGCCACCCCCTTGATTTGTCCTCCTGAAGCGCCATGAGTCTCTGGTCAGTGCACTCTTCACAGCAGGGGCTTTATATTTTGGTGCAGCTATTTGATTCATGGCTGGGTCTCCCATGAGACCATGTGCTCCATCAGGCAAGGGCCGTGCTAGGTCCTTGGCTCCCTACTCAGAGCCTGACACTGAGCGGGACTCAGAAAGTAGCTGGTAAGTAAGTGGGTGAGTTGGACCCAGGCAGGCCACATGGGGATGGCAATGTGTGGACCAGCTACATCACAGCTTCTTAGAGTAGCTGCCAAGGAGGATCTTGGTGCCTTCGTACTCATCATACAGGCCTGGTGAGGGAAACCAGTGGGGCTAAGACAACCATGATCCTCCCAAGTCAGAATTCCCACAGACCTAAAGGCAAATTCTAAAAACAACCCCTCAGCCCAGCCCTGTGAAGCTGCAGGAACCATTCCTGGACCAGTAAACACATTCACTACAAAATGGTCCTCAGTAGAGCCTACGGGGATGCACGAAGCCCCTAGGACACCAGCCCAGCTGATGTGTTGACGTTGCTGGGGAGTGAGGATACATGTTCCCAAGCACACTTAGGAGAGACAGCCAGGGCTTTATGTAACACGATGCTTATGTCTGAACACTGTCTAAGCACCAAGAACCCCAAGAGATGGCCTGGAGAGAGGCTCACGAGGTCTGCACAGCCAGCTCCTAGAGGCACAGTACGGAGCCCCTACAGCCCGACACTCCCCACACTTGAGGCCATGGGGGAGGGGGACCAGCTCTCTCAGTGTTTACCAAAATTGGGGGCACAGAGAGCAGAGGAATAAAGCCATAGCCAACTCCAGCAGGAATTGAACAGGTGCCAGCCACAAGGAGTAGTAGAAAGAACATTAGTAATGCACAGAGTGTGACCATCACTACCCGCATGTGCAGACCCAGAGCAGGGCTGTGGACAGAAGCTCCAGATAGAAAGCAGAGGTTATCTCTGGGGAGGACAGGAATAGGGGGGCTTCTAATTTACTCTGTGTACTTACAGAAATTTTTAGCCATCAGAATACGGTCACTATGATTACACAACTGAGTGAAATAAAAAGTGAATCCTTCCCTCCCCCCAGAAGAGTATGTCATGTTCAGAGAGGCAGGAGATCAGGTCTAGCTCGGCACAGTCCTGCAGGCACTTCAGGTTGTGTCTGTAGGTTGAGAGCCAGTGCCCTGCGCTCCGGAGGGGCCGGCTATGCTCATCTGCATACTGGTTCATGCTGGCAGAGAAGTGGGGTCAGAGGGGGGCAGAAGCACTGTGAGAGCCCCCCAGGGGAGTCCTGCCCACCCTTGACCCCACAGGCCCACAGGACAGCCCTGGGAGGCAGCCCTCCTGCATCTACCTCAGCACTCCCCAGTCTCCCCTTGGGCCTCTTGATATGCTGCTCCTGGCACATCTGCCTCCCTGAGCTCTGGAGAAGGGCGCATTATTCTTGTTCCTGCAGCCCTTGGCAGCCTGCTCTGGGATAACCGCCACCCCCACCCCACCTGAGATGAAGCTCACAAGACGAGCAGCTGGAGCAGGGAGGGTGAGCTCAGGGCTTCCCCAGCACCGTGAGAGTGGCAGGTCAGGGTGTGGATACCACACCAGCGCTTCCCACATGGTCAAGCCGACCCAAGGAGAGAATCTCCCCTAGAAGAAAGGCCAGAAGCCCTGCTCCACTATAAATGGCAGGAATATCAAAGGGTTCCTGGCTGGGGTGGAAACATCTAGAACCATTTACTAGAAGAGGGCTCAGCCTGGCATTCCAGGATTTGGGGGATGTATCAGACACCTACTCGCCTTTCCCCACTCACTCTCCTGCCTTGCTCACCAGTCCCGCCAGCCTGGGGCAGCCTCTCTGGCTCTGTAGAGGTGGCGGAGCCATACCAGGGGGGCCTCATCATAAGAATCACCCCTGCATGACAGTCTCCCACAGAGGTTCAGCTGCCCCACAAGGTGGGGAGCCTCCAGTCACAAAGCCCTGAGCAGTGATGTCCACAAGCAATCCACTTTTCATCCGGCCCAAAGCTGCAGGCCCTCTTCTTGGCTCCATGGCAGACTTCAGTGATAATTGATGGCAGAGTGCCATTTGGGCACAACTGTGAGTTCCTAGCTATTATCCCCCCAACCCCACCTCTAACCCAAAGAAGGGACTCCAACTCAGGATCACAGATAAACCAATGTCAAGATTCTACAGGTCACCAAAAGCCCAGGGAGGGTGGGACTGAGGCTGCTGCAGACCCTGCCCCCAACCATCAGGAACTGGCCGCAGCTTGTGGGCAGCAGGTGGCCTAAGGAGAGACCTGGGTACCCACAATCCACTCTGCCCCACAGCTCTGCATGTTGAGGCCCTCAGCAAACCTGGCTCACTGCGGAGCCCAGAGAAAGCCAAGGTGCCCAAGTAGGAGATACCTTTCTGGAGCAGGCCACGCCAGGGCCAAGCCCCACCCCCAACACCCCACCACAAAGAGCTTGGCTCACTTCACCGAGGGTGGCTTCTCATGATGCACAACCAGCATTACCAGAGACGTGGTAGCTTTGGGTCTACAAAGGACTATGGATTTGCACAATGAAGGTGCTCTAATACCAGCAGCAAAGCACACTCTAAACACTCCTGTTTGCGAAGGTCACATAAATGCCCACTTAAGGATGGCAGGAAAGAGCCAGTGAGTTGGCCAGATCAGGTGGGACAGTGCACCATCTCCTACTCAACCCTTTCAGTTTCAAAATGCCAAGCAAAGAATGCAGACCTGCCGTGCTGGCTGCACAGCTGTTTTAAAACCCTCCATGAACACAGCTGGGGTAGGGCAGAGGTCCAGGAGTGTGCTAAGGACCAGGGACAGAGAACCTGGGACTCTGAGCTCTAACTGGAGTTTCTGGAGAGGGCCAACCCAAGCCCTCTCAGGTGCCTCAGGCAAGTAAAGGGCTAGAATCAACACAGCATGAGGAACCCAGTGTGGAATGGTGGACAGAACACCAGACTCGGAGGCCCTGAGCTGGAGACTCAGATTCACAGCTTCGCAGCTGCCTGACCGTGGGCAAGCCTCAAGCTCCCCAGCCCTGAAATAGGGAGTAGCCTGCCCTGCTGACCACCCAGGCCTGTCACTAGATAAAGGACCTGCACGTGCCTATAAACCGCAAAGCGTATTATGGGTTCCAGGACGGGGGCTGCTGCTCAGGTGTCTGAACAGCCTTCTGTGGGCTCACAGCATATGGAGCCTGACCCGCCTCCATGGGGACTGGCACTCCCAGGGCTCCAGCAGCCCCACCAACTCTGTGCTGAATTGGGAAATCAGAACTGCTCCTGCAGTGATAGGCCAGAGCCAAGAAACTCCTTGCCTGAGACAAATGGCACCAGCTGCCTGCTGTAGCCCAAAGTGACTCCAACAACCCACCACAGGACAGGAAGTGCCCTCCATGGAGCAGAGCCCTGGGGCGGCTGGCTACAGGCAGGCTGGGTTCACTGGCCACACGCTGCAGTATCATAAACCAAATTCTCTCAAAAGAGCCCAACAGCCACATGCATCCAAAGCCCACTCAGGAGTGGCTGGTGCTCATCTAGAGTCACCGGGGAGACAATGGACATCACTGTGTCCTTAAAAACTTTCCCCTGATTTCCTAGGGATGAAGGACAGAAAACAGCTCAGGAGTCTGCTGCCAGAGGGCTCGGGGTCCTTCCTAGAGATTCAGCTTCCAAACAGATCCCCCTGCACCTCTGGGGGTGAGGAAGCAGCTGCCACTAAGGGGCCACAGCGAGCCTCTCAGGTGGAAGGTTCAGCCACAGAGCTCGCTAGGGGACCCGCTAGACCCGAGTAGACATGGCCAGGTCCCTCTAGCAGCAAAGAGAGTGAGGGGTGTGTCCTCCCCAACCAATGATCAACCCGGTTCTCTCTGAGCTCCAGAGGGTCAGCCTAGAGGTGATGAGATAAGTTTGCTGCCCTGTGAATACCCACCGTGTGCCATGCACTGGGCAGGGAGCTCAGAGGGAACCCAGGTGTTTATGGGGTACTCCAAGCTCCCCGAAACCTCTGATCTATATTAAGGGTGGCTTAGGAATAAGACACTGCAGGCTCATTGAGTGGCTCTGTCACAACAGGAAAAGATAGCAGCAAAAACAGACTGAAATCTCTCTGTGGAGCCTGCCAGCCTCATGCACCCCAGGTCCCCTCAGGACTCAGCCCCGATGCCATCTGAGTCCACCCATCACCTCCCCAACCCTGCCAGTCATTGACCTGCCACCCCCACACACTGCCAAACCTGCTCCCTCAAGAACCCCAGGGACCTCTTCCCAGCACCCTGCACTCTCCCTGACTGCTCTGCATTACTCCACCTCCTGACCACCCTCCTCACAAGACCCCAGTTTCCTTCATTCCCTGGCTCTGCCCTCTTCAGCCCTCCCATGCTCCCACCCCTCACTCTGGCTGCTTTATGGATCTTTTTCTTTTATGGCCCCTCAGTCACAGGGACCCAGGATGTGGCCTCAGCCATTCTCATGTCCCAGATCCCTGGGCCCAGCTGGCCCCTCCACCCTTCTGCATTAGCTTCTGTCTCTATTCAGTCTCCAAAACCTATCCCCCGGGCCTGACCTCTGCCCCACTCTAATGCCCAGCCCTCACTCAGACATTGGGCACAGACAGCCCACCTACCAGTTACGCAGGCACACAAGCTTCCTACCCAAGTGGGCTCTCAGCACTGCTGTCCTCTCAGATGCCCCTCATCCCATCACTCTTCGAGTGACAGCACTTCTAGCCAGGCTGCATCTATGAGACCCTGAACCAGAGCATGACATTCAAGGCCCTCCCCAATGGGTACCTGCTACTGCACACCACAACCACCAAGCCCAGGATCCCTATTCCTCAGAGGTGGGCCTGGACTCTCCCAGGGTCACCCAGAGATCCTCTCCTCCAGTGTCAAGACTTACGTGGTACAAACCACGTCACCAGCACTGTATTACACCACTCACGTGGATTCTCCCATCAGATCCTCATAAACTTCCTAAGGAGGGCACTGTTACCATTCCCTTCACAGACAGGAAATAGCCTTTACTCCTAACCACTGCACTGACTCGTCACCTTCCCTTCCCATCTCTCCCTGTCCAAGACCTCCCTCCTGACCCCACCCTCCCACAGGCCCCCAGTCAAGTGGGCTGATGTGCCCAATCTCCAACTCAGTCCTGGCCCAGAGCAGAAGAAAGGCCTCTAAGTCTGAAGGAAGGGAGGGAAAGGCGTGGTCTCCAATAGAGGGCAGACCCCACTGCTGTTCTGTTCTAGAAGTCTCTGTCTGAAACAGACAGCATCAATGACAAAACCCCAGGGCTCCCTGTTGAGGAAAGAACCAGCTTTGTGGCTGCTCCCTGCCACCTGGTGGTGGTGTAGGGTACTGCAGGTCTTGACTACCTGAGCTGGCCAGACCCAGAGACCAGATTCCTGACTCCAGGACAGAGTCTCAGCCTCATCAGCACCATTGTCATTGTCAATAATACTGTACATGGCTCCTGTTTTGTGCCAGGCACTCTCTAAGTTCTTGACATGGATCAACTCCTTACCCTCCCAACACCACTGTGAAACAGGCCATATCATTGCCCCGTGGGGCCCAGAGGAGTAAAGTGACCTGCCCAATGTCACACAGCTAGGAATGCCGAAGCTGGCTGCAGAGCCCACCCTCCACCATGCGCTTTTCAAGACCAGGATCCCTCTTCTTGGAAGGTCAGTCGCCCCGGTTAGCCCAAGAAAGTGTTGTCCTCAAAAGTCTAAGAATCGGCTAGGCAAGGCTTATAGGAGGTATAAGGGGGAGAGCTCCGAACCCCAAGCCCCACGCCTTTGTCCAGATATGTCCTTCCCATTTTCAGGTGTGACTTTTGGAAGTGAGCCCACAGACTTTAAACTTAGTCCCAAGTCAATGACCACTGTTCTTCAAACAACTCCAGCTCTGTCCCTCCCCGGTCTCAGCCCTGAGCCCACAGCCCTGCCCGCCTGTTTTGCCTCCTGCACAACTCCCAGTTCCTCTCGTGGCCCCTCACCAGCTCCCTTCCTGGGCTCCATCCCCACAACTGTGGTGACTCACAGCTCTGCCCAGTCACACCTGCTCTCAGGCCAGCTCCAGACCCCAAAACCTTCAGCTATCTCCTCCTAACCCGAGTCTGCCCCACCTTCACCTCCCACCTGGAGCCTGAAACAAGCCCATGTCAACTGCCCACTGTCCTGCCTTTCAAAGACTACAATTAAATCAGGGGACACAGCCCTGGGGCTGGCCCTTAAGCCTGGCCCCTAGCTAAATTGACCCTCACGGCTTATGGCTCCTCATCGGAGGAGGCCATCATGGAAAGACTAGGATTCCCCAGGGCTCATGCAGCCAAGGTCCCACCAACACTGACCTCTTTTGACAGAAACGCCCCCTTCACCACAAGGCCAAGGATTGTCACCTTGGCCCTGAAGGGCAGAGCTTCCATTATAGGGGGAGGCGAGTGGCATGAGAAGCCACTGAGAAGTGCCCCTTGAGAGAAGCCCTGGCCAGAGTCCCATCAAGGGCTCCCCATCTAGACCTGCAGTGTGCATGAGACGCTGCCATCCCACAAGTGGGCAACAAAATGCTTGGTAGTTGTCACGTAGCACCATACTCCATCTCCTGGCTAAGGTTCCAAGCCAGGACAGCCATGCCACAGACTACCTGCCCCTGGAGATTTCAACAGACCCGAGACTCCTTCCCACCGGCCAGTGCTATCATCAGGCCCAGTTAAGCACCGCAGCAACGAGCCAGATGCCTGGCAACATACAGTCCCACCGTTGCTGCTCATGGACACTCACACTGATAATGCTGCAAGAGTCGGTGAGTCCGCACATCCCACACCTTCACCGTGTTGTCCATGCTGGCGGCGGCAATGCATGTGCCACTGGGGTGGAAATCCACATAAGTGACAAAGCTGGAAAGACAGGGGCCACCACGTGCTATAGGAGGTCTGCCCTGACTCAGAACAGACCCAAAACCATCCAGCACTTTCCCATCCCTGTAAATCTGTTCATGCTGTTCCCTCAGACCAGAATACCTCCCTTCTGACCTGTTTCTTTACCAGGTGGCTGAGGGAGAGCAAGAAGGAGAGAGTGGGAACAGTGGCTAGCAGTGACATGAAGTGGACTTACCAGGGAGCAAGTCCCAGCATCAACTTCTAAATACAAGTGGAGAAAGTGGTCTTCAGACCAAAGGTCAGCAGCAGCTGGGGGTTCTCAGAGTTAGAGCTTGTGCCCTCACCAGAGCTGGAGGCAGGGAAGGCCCTGCTAGCTGAGGCCCACACACGAAGAGCCAGCAGGGCCCCAGAGCCACTGGCTCACCTATCTCCAGGAGACAGGCCAAGGGCCCTCAATAAACCCATACGTGACAGCCAGGCTGGTATCATGGCCAGCTCTCAAGAGGAGCCCTTACCTGGGGCTCCCTGCTGATGGGGAAGGGCCAGGGTTCATTTAGGAACCCAGAACAGGTGAGTCCCTGCACAAATGCAGGCTCCTCCCTCTCTCGATGATGTGGCACAATACAACGGCCGCCACCCACTACAAGAACCTGACGAGCCTTTCATTTATAAAGCCACCACCACAGATAACATACTAACATGCTTTTTTTTTTTCCTTTAAAGCTTCAGTGCAAGGTTGTGTATCCTAGTTGTTAGTTTTTAGTCCTTTATGTGAGCCATCACCACTGTATGACAACTAACAGACAGGTGGTGTGGTTCCACAACCAGGAAATGAACCTGGGCCACAGAGGTGAGACCACTGAATCTTAATCACTAGACCCCCAGGGCTGGTTCCATGCTAACATGCTTTTGGGGGGTCTGGGTTCAACTGTTTTCAGACAGACATGTCAATTCTGAGAACTAGAAAGTGAAGGGAAAAGAGAGGCCCCAAGAATTACACACCTTGAGATTAGGTGCTCCCATTATTTGTGGGGATGGGGATGAGGCTGAACATTCCACTCAAACAGGAAAAGACATGAAGGCAGGGAGCACCAGAGACGAGGCTGCTGGCGCCCACAGAAGGCTACTGGGGCCTTCTCATGCTCAGGTCTGTGCTTTTCTTGAGCACCTGTAGGTGGAGGACAGGCTCTGGGGACTCACCTGCCATGCTCACAGTATGAGTGGACACACTCCCGGCTGGTCTTGTCCCACAGCTTGACAGTCTTGTCATCACTGGCAGACACGATGAGCCGCCCATCGGGGGAGAACCTGAACCAGGCAGGGCACGAGTCACACCATCGTCATGGGTACTGCACACGGTCCTCCACAGCCACCCTTCCTGCTTTTCCCTCTACCCAACCCCAGGAACCAGCCGGGGCTATATGTCATGCTCTGACCCTGAGTGATCCTGGGCCAGGGCTTCCCCTCTGTGAGATGGGTAAGAATAGTGCCCACCTCGTGGTCAGCAGGCAGTAGCGCCATGCACAGGAGGCCCCTGGCACTGCACATGGTGTATGGCAATGTGAGTGCTGACTGCTGGTGCTGTTAGCATTAAGGCAGCCCAAAGCCCACCATCAACATCATTATCCTGTTCCCAGGTCCCCTGAGTCTACATGTGACTCTGAGAATGGGTCAGCAAAACATCGCCTGCCAACAAAAAGATGTGGAGGTCCTGGGGACCCACCATCAAAGGCCCACTGTGGGCTCAACACTTGTCTGCTGGCCTGGTCCCTCCTGTTCTCAGGAGTCTGATGGTGAGGCCTCTCAGCGCAATCAAGGGCTTCCAAGGACAAAGGAATGAATGCTCTGGGGAACAAGTAACTTGAATGGGGTCCCCAGCAGAACATGGTAACAGTCCCCAACCTCTGACTCCGTGGTTTCCCAGTGTCCCCAGACACCCCCAAACCTCTTCCTCTGGAGCATTGAGATTTGACACAAGAAATTTATGTTGAAAGGAACAGAATAAGCTGGAAGTAGGCACGTCTGTGTCTGCAATTCTTGGACCCTGAAATGTGCTCTGGGTCTCTTGGCTCCCATCCCCACAGCATTCCCCCATACACCAAAGAGAGGGCCAGTCTCCAGACCGACCCCCCTCAGAAGCTCAGGCCCCCATAAGGTAGCTCTGGAGAAAAATCAACCTCTAAGAAGCAGACCACCCCAGAGGAAAGTAGGCGAGCCTTAGCACCAGAGACTCGGGTTCAAATCCCAGCTCTGCCACTTTACCTGCCATGTGCCCTGGGGCAAGATACTGCACTGTTCTGAACCTCAGCTTCCTCATCTATAAAATGGGAGTGATATTACCTAGCTTGCAGGACTACTACGAGGAATACAAGAAAATGTATAGTGGTAGGACTGACATCATCTTACTGTTAGTGTTGCTATTGCTAATAAGTTGCCCCTGCTGACTTGCCTTGGGCTGCGACAGCACAGACATCAGGGAGTCATCGTGGCTGGCAATGAACTAACTGACTTGTCTCACGTCAGCTCAGTGAAGGTTCTCAACAACTTATAAGATAGAAACTATCACTGTTCCTATTTCCCAGACAAGGAAGCTGAGGCTCAGGAAGACTCAAGAGTGGCTAAGTAACTTGCCCAAGGTCAAGATGCTGGCACCTGGCAGCCCCTCTATGCCTCTCAACCTCCAGGTCCCTCCAAGGATCTCCGGGCAGGATGATACTCACTTGGCACAGCGGACCCAGTTGATGTGCTGGCTCAGGGAGAAGAGGAATTTCTGGCGATGAGTCGACCACACCTTGACTGTTTTGTCATCAGAGGCTGTCACGAGGGACTGGCCATCGCTACAGAAGTGGACACTCCTCACTGTGGCCGTATGTGCACGAAACACAGTTGACTCACCTTTGCTGTGGGGACAGGCATCCAGAGTCAGGACACTCATAACAGCGACACAAGGGCACACTGCAGCTCTCCCCATCCCTCAGAGGCCCCTCTCAAAGTCAATCCAGGCCTGAGTGCCTCAGTCCCCAATAAGGAAGGCCAGAGCCTCCCCACGAGAGCAGAGCACTGCCTCCTCTCCCCCTACCTACGTGCAAGCACCAGCAGGTGGAATCCCTTCCAGGATGGCCGGGGTCAGCCCAGAATCCCTCTCCCCACCTCAAGGGAAGGCCCCAACTGAAGCCCCAGCTTCTGATGGCACCTCCTTGGAAGAGGGGTAGATGTCCCACTGTGACCAGTCCAGAGCCAGGATGGGGGTCTGGGTGGGGACAACTCTGGCACTAGGGCCCCAGACTCACACAAGCCCCTCAAAGTCTATAACTCACACATTGGGTACCCAGATGCGGACAGTCTTGTCACGGGAGCCGGAGGCAAGCAGGTGTCCCGAAGGGGAGAAGTTCACACAGGTGACAGCATCCTTGTGGCCCACAAAGCGGTAGGCACGTGACTGGGGCTTCATGTGCCAGAGCATGAGGCATGAGTCCATGGAGCCACTGGCTGAGGAGAGAGGAGATGCTACGACCCTCAGCTCTAGTGGGCCTTGAACCTCCACCAGGACATTGGGGAACGGCAGGCAAATGCAGCCTGACAGCCTAGCTCCACCGGCCCCCTGGGGAGAGGCCATACTTCCGGTGGCTGTAGACCAGGAGTTTGGAGAGCTACAGCTTGTCAGCTCTCCAAGCAGCAGGTCTGCACAGGAACCAGACCAAGAGATGCCCTTCACATACCAGCCCTGGGCTGCAACCCAAGGGGCCTCTGGGAAAACTTGTCACCCATGGGGTCCTATATCTCTCCGTAGGAGGACACTAAAGAGCACGTCCTCCTGAAACTGCGGAGCCAGCCCAACCCAATGGGCCTTTTACCACTGAGAGGGCTCAACTCAATCAGAAGCCTATAAGAGGTCCCAAAACTGGACCAAAAATGACTTCAGTTTCTTTCTTTTTTTTTTTTAAGATTGGCTCCTGAGCTAACATCTGTTGCCAATCTTCATTTTTTTTCTTCTCCTCCCCAAAACCCCCCAGTACATAGTTGTATATTCTAGTTGTAGGTGCTTCTGGTTGTGCTATGTGGGACACCGCCTTAGCATGGCCTGATGAGCAGTGCCATGTATGTGCCCAGGATCTGAATGAGGGAAACCCTGGGCCACCAAAGCAGAGAGCACAAACTTAACCACTCTGCCATGCAGCAGACCCCCAGTTTCCTCTTAATCTACAGTGGGCACAAGGCCAGCAGCCTCTGGCAGGGGACCTTGACCACAGGATGAAAGGGGAGTCTCATCCATAGAAACAAGGAAGCCATAGCCATGACAGCTGTGTACAAACCCCTAAGTGGCCAAGAAGCAGGGGTTCTCAGCTGCAGCACAAGGGCAGTGGGCAGAGGGGAGTACCCAGCTCTGCTCCACATCCTTCTCACTGCTAGGCGTCTTCAACAAGAAGCTGTGCCCACATTACTGTGGACAACAGAACTGATGAAGACCCAAGGAAAAAGAGCCATTGTTTAGGGCCCATTCCTCAGGCTAGAGTCAAGAGGTGGCTGAGGAGCAGTGGGAAAAGCCCAGAACCCGGTCCCACCCTCAAAGGCTATGTGACCTTAGCAAGGCCCTCAACCTCTCTGAGTCTCACACTCTGCATGTAGAATGGAGCTCATGAAGCCCAGTGCACAGAGAATTGGCCAGCTGAAGCAAGATGCAGGTCTAGACAGAGCATCTGGGTCCTCACTGTGCCCTGCTCCCCCCACACCACACCTCCCATGGGGAAACCTGACCTACTCAGCTCATAACTTAGTGCCTAGGACAGGACACCTCCTCTTACCCAGCTGCTTCGTGTTGAAACTGAAGTCCACACAGGTAACTGCATCTCGGTGGCCCTTAAAATGCCTCTCCAATGAGGGGTCCTCCTGGGGGAGAGCCAAGGTCAAATGTGTGAAGCCTGGATGAGGCAGGGGCTTCCCCGGGGCCAAGACTCTTCCTATAACAGCCAGGAGGGTTTAAAAATGCTCAAGGCATGATCTTGCATATAGAAAATCCTAAGGAATTGACTCAAAAATTATTAGAATAGATGAGTTCAGTAAGGTTGCAGAATACAAAATCAATATACAAAAATTGACTGTATTTCTGTATACCAGCAATGAACAATCTGAAAAAAGACAAATCCGTTTATGATACATAAAAAATAAACACTTAGGAAGAGTTTAATAAAAGAAGTGCAAGACTTACACAGTAAAAACCACAGAACATCACTGAAAGAAATTTTAAAAGACCTAGATAAATGGAAAGACATCCATGTTCATAGTTTGGAAAACAGTACTTTGTTAAGATGCAATATTCCCCAAATTAATCTACAGATTCAACATAGTCCCTATCAAAATCTCAGGGGCCTTTTCTTTTTTTTACAGAAATTGGCAAGTTAATCCCAAAATTCATATGAAAATGTGAGAGAGCTAGAATAAACCAAACTATCTTTTTAAAAAAATGAAAAAACAGCCACTGTAGAAAATAGTTCAGCAGTTCCTCACAAAGTTAAACACAGAGTTATCAAATGACCCAGCAATTTTAGGTAAATACCCAAGAGAATTGAAAGGATGTTCACACAAAAACTTGCACACAAGTGTTCACAGCAGCATTATTCATATTAGCCAAAAAGTGGACAAGCTGAAATGTCCATTAACAGATAAACGAAAGGTGGTATATCTATACCATGGAATATTATTCAGCAATAGAAGGGAATGGAGCACTGACACATGCTACAACATAGATGAACCTTGAAACCATTATGCTCAGTGAAAGCCAGACACAAAAGGCCACGTTTTGTCTGATTCCATTTATATGAAATGTCCAGAATAGGCAAAGCTATAGAAACAGAAAATAGATTACTGGTTGCCAGGGGCTGGGGGAGATGAGGAAATGGGGAGGAAGGGGAGTGGCCACTCAATGGGTATGGGTTTCTCTTTGAGAGTGACAAAAATGTTCTGGAATTAGTGACGATGACTGCACAACACTGCCAATGTACTAAAAACCACTGAATTTTGCACTTTAAAATGGTGAATTTTAGAATATGTGAATAATATCCCAATAGTTATTTTCTTTAAGGACTCAAGGAGAGAAAATGGGGGCTTTTCAGCACCCCTAATCTCAGGAATCAGATCCTGTACCCTCAATCCCACTGCAGACTGGCCAGTGAACTCAAAAGTCAGCCTGGACAGGCCCCTGGGTGGCATCACCACCATCCCCACTCCACCCAACATCAGAGAAGCGGCAGTTCAGGACACTGCTTAGGAAGACATGGAGATAATATTCCAGAGACTCTCTCCACCCAAAAGCAGCTAGTGTCTTAGCACTTGAAGGGTTATATCTTAGCCATGCAAACATCTCTCCCTACCCCAAACATCAGAAACCTCAAAGAAGCACTTTGGGTGCACCAGAGAGCCCAGCAAAGCCTACTCTTGGGAAAAAAGATGTGCTTGGAGCAGGGCAAGGCCACTGCCACCCCACAGAGCTGTAACAAGAACAAAGGCCCCCATGGCCCTGTGCCCAGCTCCGCTCCCAACACATCTGCCTAAGGCCCCCTTTCAACAAGAGAAAAAGCGGCAGCTGAGGGAGGGCCCCAACAGAGCAGAAACTACTTGAGCCTCTTGGACAAACAAGGGAAGTTAGTCCCACCTCTAGGTTCAGTGGACAGAAGCAAGTTCAGGTCCATCTCTGACCAGAGGGCCCTGAAATCTCCCAACATCCTCTCCCCCAATCCCACAGGATCTGTGCTTCCTGGTCTCCCCCAAAGGTGGCTTACGAGGGGGACTGGGAACCTTTTGGGAAGGGCATTAGATCAGGGGTCAAAAGGTCTCGATCCTAGTCTGGGCCCTCTGCTCAAACCCCTAGATGGCTAAGGGGGCCAATAGGCCAGCCTCAGCCTCCCCGACTGTTAACCTAGCCAGAAGGCCAGGCAGATTCGAAACAACTTCTCCAAAAGAGGGGCTTTGGAGTGCTTCTCTCGCCGGTCGGAGCAGGGTGTACCTTCAACAAGCCCCCATTCAGCCACCCACTGTTCAGGATGGCCAGACTGAGGCCAGAGAAGCCCGGCGCTGGCCACACCTGCAAGTCACATCTCCAGTTGGGCCGTACTAGTGTCTTCCCCGCTAGGATGCAAATCCTGGGGGCAGGGACTGGTTTGTTCGTCCCCGTAGCCCGCACAGGGCCTGGCATGCAGGAGGCGCTCACTAGCTCCCCGTTCCAGCGACACCTGCACAGACGGTAAACTGAGGCCGCAGAGGACCGGCTCGGAACCCGGCGCCCCACCCGCCCCCTCGCAGCCATCGCCCCGGCCAGGCGCCCATTGTCCCCGAGGGGAAACTAAGGCCCGGACGACCACCGCCAGCAGGAACTTACCGGGCAAGGCGCGGCCATGGCAGGGCCCAGGGCGCCGCAGGCGCCGGAGGAACCCGAGGAGGGAGAGGCTGCCGTTGCGGCCCGTTCAGTTTCCGCGCCCCCAACCGCCGCCAATAGCAACGCGGGTCGCGTCGCCGCGCCCCGCCCACTGCCATTAAAGGAGACGCGGCGCCTCTGCTTTTTGCCCCCAGACCAGAAGCAGTGCTGTAGGGCCGGCTCCACGGTCTCCGCGCCCACCTCCGCCAGGCTCGGCAGCCTGCGGACGGCGCCACCAAAGGCCTTTGTCCACTGTCACTCATTCCCATTGAGAAATGAAAAAGCCCAGGATGAGGGGGTCGCCCCACCGGCCCGTAGCCTGGGTAAGGAGATGGGGAGCACAGCCTTCTGGGAAATGCAGTTCCAAGACGGCCGCCACCTTGTGTTAGGAGGAAGGTGAAACTACATTTCCCAAGATGTCCTGAGGGCGAGACCGGGATTAACCACCCAAAGGGAAGGCGTGAAGGATCCCGGAAATGGAGGACTCATGTGTCATTTGATATGTTTCCTCTTAAAGCGCCCGCGAGGCCAGGTTTTCGCTCAGTACCCTCTTGAGAGCCCATTATTCGCTCCTTGGGAATTCTTTAAATGATTCGCTCCTCCGAACGCGCTTAAAACGAGCGTCGATTTAAAAGAACACTCACTCAGTGATCATCCGTGTCACTCAGAATCACCTGCGGAGTGGAGACACGTAGGTTCCATTCTCAGTTCTTGCCCTGCTTCCCTGTGTGACCTTAGGGGAAAAATACCTGTGCTCTGTGGGCGTCAGTTTCCCTATTTGTAATATGAGGGAGTGTGATGAAGCCTGAGAAGCCGTTACAAATTACATGTTTAAAAGAGAAGGAAACAATCCAGGGGCCTGGCCACCAGAGGCCGTCACCTTTTGCTGTCAGAAGGCCCAGGCTGTGCCTAGACCCTTCTACGCTGCCTCACTCCTGGCGTCTTCCCAACCTGGAACTGACCCCCACCGGATGTTTTGCAAGATTCAGGAACCTTCCATCACCTCCCCTATGCGGGCCAGTTTGGCCAGAATCCAACACTGATTAGGCTCTGGCCAGGTTCTGACGTTTCTCACTATGTCCTGAGACTTAAGATGGTGTATACTGGGACCTGCAAACCAGAGCCCAGTTCAGTAAACTCAGAAACTGGCACATGTGGGTACCTGGCATATGGAGTGGGTCTCTCCTTTGGACTTGGAAAGTCAGGGGCCAGACACGAGAAGCAGAGATACACTTAATCCCATCTTCTCTGTGATTTCGCCTAGAATTTGTTCCTTCACATTAGAAATGTTTAGGTTCATTTAGCTTAGACACTGAAATTCTCCTTAAAACGACTAGTATCACTCACACACACCCCAAAATTGATCAACACTGTTCAAAGGATGGTTTTGAAGCCTTCCCACCAACATTTGCATCTTAATGAGCTGTTCTCTTGCCAGCTGGCTGAACACTTAAGGTGAAAAAGTTAAGAAAAAAAATTAAATACAGAAAAATCTATCTGTTAAACTTAGGGTTCTTTTATTGCTGTTGTTGAGTGGTGTTTTTTGCTTTTGTCTTGTTGTTGTGTTTGGTCAGTTTTAGCTATGGAATAGCCCTGGTCTACAGGAGTGTTACCGAACCAGGTTCGTTTTTGCCTGCCGCCCAGAAAGCCAAATACTGAGATGACAAGATTGCAGCAGAGAGAGAGTTTACTCACAAGGCAGCCATGCGAGGAAGCGAGAGCATGAGTCTCAGATTTGCCTCCCTGAAAACAGGGACTCAGGGATATTTATGGGATGGGGGCAAGGTGGTCTGAAATGTGGAGGTAGGTGACTGGAGGTGAGGAGAGGTGAGGTCATGGATGATATGCGCAAGAATAGTCGGACTTCATGCCTCTTCATAGGACCCCTGTTCACAAAATGGTGGCATTAGCATGATCTGAGAGTGGAGTTTTTAGCCTCTTGACGTCAAAAGGTCACCTATCAAACATCTGCACAGGCCCAGTTGATGAGTTGGTGGTCTCAACCAGCCTGAAGTGGACAAGGAGTTCTAATTCCTGAAAAACAGCTCACACACACATTACCATGGTGACCCAGGCTCCAGGGAGATGTTATCTATAGGAGCCTAGTGGGAATCAGATAGCATATTGCCTAAGCAGCACAGTTATCGATGGGTAGGTTAAACCGCTAAAAGCTATAATCAGTAATTGCAAAAAGGAAACAAAACTAGTTCCTAGCTACTTAATCATCAATGGGTAACTCTGCCTGTTTCAAGAGCTCATAATCTACTAAACTGAATTTAGAGAAACCCTCTATAAAATGGTTTTCAAATGTCAGCTTTGCTTAAAGTGAGAGGCACTGGAAGATCTTACTCATCCCTAGTCTTTCCATATCCTACTGTCTTCTATCCTTACCCATCAGGGAGGAGGAGCTGGGGATACCCCACACCCTCTTGCTCATTTATTCTCCAAAAAATGCAGAGAGGTTGACTCTGCCAACGCTACATAGACAACTCAGGATCCCCCTCTGGCACAACCTGCATAAATCAAGATTGGTGCCTCTACTTTCTGATGGAGCAGCCCCTAACCCAAGCCATCTCCATCAGATTAGACACCATTTCTGAGTAGGACCTCCATATTGGTGGGGGGACCCTCAATGTTGGAGGAGTCTCAATGTTGGGGGGACCTCTACGTTGAGGGGGCTAGAAGAGAGCTTCTTTGTCAAGCACCTCTGTGGCAGGGCTGTCTCTTGTCCTCATACAAAGCCCACAGGTAGGCCCTCTGCAAGAGCCTCTCACCCTGTCATCACTTCCAGGCCCCCTGCCCAAGGGCCAAGGACACCCCAGGGTGGGGCAGAGAAAGGAGGAGGAAAGGCAAGGATCCCACCCACATAGCCCAGCGCAACCTGTGCCTGGAAAGCCGCATCAAAGCCATCAGTCAGCCCTGCAACTGCTGGTGGCCTGCGTCTAAAACTCTGAGCAGGGCAGCTCAGGGCTTGTCCTAGGGGCCGGCAGATCCAGGGGTGAGTGCAGGCCCTGCCATCTCCAAGCTGGGTGATCTAGCAGGAGTCACGCCACCTCTCCCAGCCTCCATATCATCAACTGTAAAATAATCATAACATACCTGCCACAAGGGGAGAGGGAGGATTCCATGAGCTATTAATTCACGTCAGAGCTTGATGTTGAGCTGCCACTTAATACAATAAGAACACTTGTGACTTCTTACCACGACCTCAGTCTCGTCATGTGCCTCCTCTGCTCCAGTGATCTAGCTACCACCTCTCTGCCTCTGCTCCCACCTCTCTCCCCTGGCTCTCTCTGTTCCAACCACATTGGCCTTCTTGCTGTTCCTTGAACAGGAGTGTGCCAGGCACGCTCCTATTTCAGGACTTCTGCACTGGCTATTGTCCCTGTGTCCACCTGGCTCAACCCATCACTTCCATCAGGATTTTTTCAAACGTCACCTCCGTGTAGCCTTCATTGACCACCCTACTTAAAATGCCAACCCATCCTCCCCTTTCCCTGCTTTATTTCCCTCCAGGAATATGACCAACTGACACCCTGAGAACATGAGCTCTGGGGCACAGACGTGACTGCACTCCTGCACCCAGCACAGAGTCTGGACAGAGTGTGGGCACAGTGAATGTGTGCCCAATACGTAAATGAATCATGACAGCTTCCTCATAGACTGTAATGGGGTCTGTGACAAGCAGGACTTGTTCTCAGCTGGAGAGAATGGGGAGGGGTTAGGGTAATTGGGAAAAGCTTCTCTGAGGGAGCAAGGATATCTGACCTTGGCAGCACAAGTTGGGCGTAGGTAGACAGGAGAGAAAAGGAAGGACAGTTCCGGTGCAGGCAACAGCCTAGGCAAAGGTCTTGTAACAGGACTGAACATGGAATGTCTGGGGAGCAGGGACAAAGCAGATGGGCTCAGGAGTAAGACCAGATTGTAAGGCCACAAATGTGGACAAGACTCATGGGGATTGGTCTCAAAGGGTTAGGGGGCCACATGTCCCCTCCTGGGGGCTGAGGTAAGCCAAAAGAGACCCCTCCTAGATGGGGCTATGGTACCAGGACTGCCTGTTGTGGGAGTGACCCCTGCAGGGTGACCCTCCCCAGGAAGTCCCCTTGCAATTCTGAGCCTCAGTGGTACCCACTGTGGAACTGGCATGCCCCTGCAGGTCAGCCTTGTCTAAAGGCAGGTCACACCTCAAAGCAGGGAGAGGTTCGATGGGGCCACAGGCCTTCAATCTCACCTAGCCCTGCTCTTCCATTCAACAGTGGCCACTCTTGTAAGAAACCCACACTGGTGGAGACACTGGGGTGTCCCTTCGGGTAAGTGTCCAGTTTGAGCCTGTACTTCCATGTTGCAAACAGTAGGTGGCATGACTAGAGCTGCCATGGCAATACCTGGGACAGTGATGTCAATGGACTCAGGGATCCCTGGAACCAGTTCCCAGGAGGTGTAAAGACACAGAGCTGGCAGTAGCCACACTCCACAACGTCCACTCAGATCAGATGGGGAAGCTTCTATGTGCTGAGTCCTACTCACGTGCCATGAGCATGACCCATGCCCTCCCTCCCATAGCCCCAAGCAACCCATGAGAGATGCTGGGCCTCCATTTCACATTGTCCAGGGAGAGGGGAAGGGACCAGCGCAACCCAGCTGTGATAAGAGAGCAAATCCCACACAGCTGCGGGCCCCTCGCCCCCTGGCTCTGCCCATGTGGGCTGGAGGCGGGATGCAGACGTGCACCAAAGGTCTGAACTCAAAGCTGATAACATTCCCTGGTAGATAATGCAGGCAGAGCTTCAGAGCAGCGGTTCTCAGCCCTGGCTGCCTTGCAGAACCTCTGCAGATGGGATCAGGCACCCGTGTTTCTTAAAGGATCCCCAGGTGAGTCCATTGGGCAGCCAAGGCTGAGAACCACTGCTCTAGATCCATGTGACCAAGGGAACTTTCTGTGATGATGGAAATGTTCTGTATCTACACTGTCCAATATGATATGGTCGCATGTGACTATCAAACATTTGAAATGTGGCTACTGTGCCTAAGCAACTGAATTTTAAATTTTATTTAATTTTAATTTACATGT